ATATATATATATATATATATATTTGTTCATTTATTTTTTTGCTTAGTTTTAATTTTTTTCCTTATTTAAAATTAAAAGAAATAAAAAAGATTACTCTTTTTATGCTTAACGCCGCTTAAGCCCCTAAAAGCCTAAGCAGCACGTTGCCAATCTGCTTTCTGCATCTCGGGACCTTGTCATCATACATTCATTTATTTTCATAAAATTTTCAGTCACAATCAACGGTGTTGGAACCTCTTTGCAATTTTCATTCTAAACTTCACGAGAATGTTTTCAGCATACATTTGACAAATGAAAACTCATTTCCTTTGTTCAACTTTAATTTCCAAAAAGTAATGAAGTAACCTCATATCATTCATTTCATATCTTTTCATCATATCTCGAAGAATTTATCTATCACTATCAGTATAAATCAAATAATCAGCATAAAGAGAGACAATAAGAAATATTAGAGTTACCTTGTCTTTTGATGTACAAGATTGATTCACTTAGGCTTCTCTAGAATCCCTTCTTATTGAAGTATGTATGAATTTGGTTATATCATGTTCTGAGTATTTTTTTCTACCTTTACAAAGTCTACTTCAACTCGTGACTTTGTTTGCTTGGTCACTTTAGGCATAGCTTTGAGACCCCTCCACATATATTTCTTCTTTCAACACTCCATTCTAGAATGCCAATTTCATATCCAAGTAATAAAAGGACCACTTTCGGGTTGGTAAGACAATAAGTGCAGATGACATCATGTCGGGAAACCGATGCAAGTGTTTCTTGGTTGTCAACTCTGTGTTGTTGAGAGTTACCGTGTGCCACTTATCTTTTTTTATGCCTTTTAACGGAACCATACACGTTGATATTCGTTTTGTAGATGCACTTGAGACTTGTTTTGGGGCTTTTCAACCGACTCCTAACTTTTTTGTTTCTCAATCACTTTTAGTTCTTCTTTCATTGCTTTTCTTTACACTTTTTATTTTTTGCACCGTCATAGCAACTTGGCTTCACTACACACAAAAGTTGGAAGTAACATAAATGCACTTAGACTTCTCATTTCTTGGAGAAGAAATTGAGCTTGAACTTGATGGTGAGCTTGTATTTGATGATGCTTGTGTTGGCATTTCTTCATGTAGATATCCATTTTCTTTGCTTTCTTTTTATTGGGAAGCATCTTAACCATCACATCACTTTGTTGAACACTTTTTTTCTTTCCAATCCTAAGGGACCTTTTCTTCGAAGAATACATCTTTACTACTATTGATTTTATTTGTCTTCAAGCTGAAGAATCTATAATCTTCTGATTTAGAGCTATTACCAACAAATATCCATTCCTCACTTGTTTCATCAAATTTTATTATTTTCTCTTTTGTAACATGTGCATTGCATACATCCAAATATTTTGATGTGGTGGTTCACTGATGCTTCCTTCCACTTCAATTGATGTTTTATCATCATGTCTTTTTGTCGGACATCTATTCATCAAGTAGGTTGTTGTGTATATTGCTTCAGACTAAATGAATTTGGAAGACCCTTAGCTTTGATCCTAAATCTTGTCATCTCCATAATGATATGCTTACTCCTATCCACCATCCTATTTTTCTCCGTTGTGTAGCCAATAGTCAATTATTTCTACAGCTGATCTGAGTCTAAAAGTTGATCCATATGTAGCATAGTTGTTCGTCAGTGTGATTTTGTAATGACCAAAGAGTATCATGCTAAGGAATTAGTCAACTTGAGATGTGTGAGTGACAATACTTGTTTATGTACATGTTCAATCAATAGAAGATGAAGTTATTAAATGAATGCCTAAGTTGACGATTGATATCCAAGAAAAAGGCTGTCATCAACAAACTGAACTTTTGGGTCTCATGATTTAACCATTGGTTTTGAATTTGTTAAGCACCTACTTTCTAGAAATTGGGATCATCTATTCATTGGTTTTGATTATTCTATATATATGTTGATCGTTCAGTACCGTGTCTCCTTAGAAATGTTGTTTAGTTTAGATTTTGTTCTTGCTTTCCTTCACTCTTTATTCTTCATGCTTGTTAGGGAAGTAAGTGTTGTTGTTATTCATGTTGAATATTAAGGCCAACATCAACTATTGTTTTTGGAAGAGGCAGATTACATGAGATTTTCATGTAGAATTACTTAGTATGTACTCGTTTTTAATTTCTACATTAATTCAACTCAGCGCTTTTTGATGAACAAGTGTACCATACCATGCACGCATCACGTGCACCAGACAACTAGTTGTTATTTAGCTAATAATATTTTCAATATTTGAACACTCTTATTTTCTTGTTGATGTCCCTTCACTACAGCTATTGATAGATGTTTATACATCTTCTCTTGCAGGCTCTGGATCCACTGCCTCGCCTTGTATATTATATCTTCGACAGCATGCTTTCTTCTATATTTAGTAAGAAATTTGGTCATTATTTCTCTATGGATATTTTTCTTTTTCAAATTAAAAGTTTGTTGAAAAGATATGAGATCTTTCTGTATTTTTTTCTATGTCTGGTTTTAGGAATATAGGAATATCTCAAGGATGAGGCTTGCTCATATTACTGAATCTCCTCCAAATCCTAGACATTTCTCAGTTCTCGTTCGTTCTATCCCAAGGACTCATGATGAACCATTTGATGTTACAATTGTAAATTTCTTCACAAAGTATCATGGATCGAGCTATTTATCCCATCAGATGATTTCTCAAGCTGGAACAGTTCAGAAAATTATGGTGCGTAATATTCTATAGCCTCATTCAATTTCTGAAACAAAGATTACAAGGTTTCTTAATCGTCCGATTAAGTGTGAAAGCAAGCAAACCATGCAGGAAAATGAAAAAGCGCCCTATTATGCGTTCAGCCGCATAATCGAACGCTTTTTCACTATGCGCTGGCATAATGAGATTATGTGGGCGTTTTTTTCTTTTTTGAAGAAATTGGTATCTCAATAGAAAACTTGTAGCCCATTTAACCTGAATCCCTAAAGACTGTTTTAGATTGCTTTAGATGTATGGATTGAACTTTTAAGTAATCAACTAGTTATTGATTGTTAACTCAAATGTTTGTTGGTTTATCTAGTATATTTCTATTTTCATGAATTTTATATATTTGAACATATAATAGATTATTAAATATATATTAAAAAAAATTCAAGAACACATAATTCCGTGTAATTCGCTTAATCAACGCTTAATCCGATTATTCATTAAAAGCTCCTAGACCGCGTAAATAATAAAATTGTGGTTTATACCATTAGTGCCTTGCTTAGTAAGCTTTTCTCTTCCATTTTTCCTTATAAAAGTTGAGTTCTTTTTAGCTCACGTATAAGCATGTATTTGGAAACTAGCATTACCTATGAGAGACATTGCATACTTCAATTTGATGATAATACTTTCCATCGATTTATGTGAACTAGATCATGGTTTCTTTTGATGGCTTCACAAATGCTGTTATGGTATGTTTACAAGTATCTTAGATTTGGATCATATACATGAGCTAATCTGCATTAATTCGCTGTTATAGGGGGAGGATTAAGAAAAATTGAACGAATAAAAATATGTTTATGATATAAGTTTTACTTATTTAAAGAGGATGTTTAAAGTTACTTTTAATCTTTTAACATAGACATATAGAGCCAACTCCTCTTGTGAGTTCTTTTTCTCATTACAAGTTCTTGAACAAACATGTAACTTGCTAGATTCCGGAATACAGAATTTGATTCAGGAATAGAGATTGCGAGTAGTCTGTTAGTGTTATTAAGGGGGGCTATTTCGATGAGTGTATGAAAATGATCCACTTCGCTACCAAGGATCAACTATGTATGTATGTATATGTGTGTGTATATATACACATATATAAGAAAAATGGGTAGACTTGGTTTAGTTGTGAGGTGACTCATTTCCATCCACTCATTCAATTGATCTCCATTTAAAAATGATCATCATTTAATTATCCAACCCATGTGAATGTGGTCCCCCTATTTGAATGAGTGGATGAGAATGAGTCATCTCACTACCTAGCATAAAGTTTGTGCTTGGTTCTAAGCATACCCATCTCTCTTTGTACATGTATATATGTATGTATATACATCGCAAATGATGGGTATGAGGTAGCGGCTCATTTAGTAAAATGAGCTATCAACGGATAGTTGTGTGATCCACACCTTTTGATGTGACTATCAAGGTGGGCCTCACCACATGGCTATTTCTTGGCAACTCATTTAACAAAATGTGTCGTCACCTCTTACTAATTATTTCCATTTAAGCATATATGTATGTATAGACACACACAGACAGATAAAATAATGATATTATGAGATAGTGAGCTCAAATCTTTTTGTGAGTGATACTAATCGGCTCATTAAATTCATGATCGGCAATGTACATCATGCTCAAAATATCATCAAATGTGTATGGTGAAGTTTTCACATAGTTTGAAGTCTTCTAGAATGTGAACCAAACAATTTAATATAGTGGATTTTCAGACAGCATGATAGCCATCCGTTTTGCACATAACTAAAATAATGATAATAAATTTCTAAATGGTATAACTTTTTTTACATATAGATCATGTGGTGTGTAAGTTAGAATGGACGGTGCCGATCATCATATTGGGACGATAAGAATGTCATCTCACTATCTAATTTTGTTATTTTTCTGTATATGTATATATGTATATTTATATGAGTTGAGCTATACTATTAATAGTATCCAATATGTGGATACTAGCAACTCAATTTTTAAATTCAAAACCCAAAAGTAAAAATCCAAACTAGTGGATGTGATCTACTACATATGAATTATCTAGAAATAAAATTTCAAAATATTTCAACATCATTAACCTATGGATAATATGTTGTCAAAATTGACGCTTCAGAATTTTCATAAGCATGTTTAATTTTTTGCCACTTGATATATGATTCAAAACACATTGAAATCGTTTGAGATTTTATTTTTAAGTAGCTCATTTATAGTGTATCACATCCACGAGTTTGGATTTTCATTTTTGAGTCACAACTTTCAAAATTGGGTTGACAACATTCGCATGTTGGATACTATTAATAGAGAGATAAGGAGAGAGTGAAATGAGTTTGCTTGGTTCCAAGCACAAGGTTAGTGCTGGCAGTGAGGTGGATGCATCTCAGCCCGACATCTAAGCTTGTAAAGTACAAAGAGAAAAGGTGTCACATGCGGATGTTCTTTCCATCCAACTCATTTTGTTCAATAAGTAGTTAGATCATATCCATTGCTCCTTGTACACACGCTCGATATGTAGGGCAACCAAAAAATTAATTAATAGAGAATATTTTCCTTCATCTTTCTACAAAATGAAGGGTGCTTTAGTAATTTCACCTAACAAGATATTAAAAATACTCTATCTAGCTTTTCTTATTTGATCTATTACATTGAAACTCTCTGGCTCTCTCCCCCCTTACCTTTTTCAGAATGAAAATGAAACTAATGAATTAAGTATTGAATATTTTTAATCCATTATCAAAGCTTAGAAACACTAAATATAGAAATATAAGACTAATCCCAAATGTAATTATCAACTGAAAATAAGTTCAGTAAAAAATTAATGTTGCAAAAATGTAATAAGAACATAGTTGAAGGTATTAAAATATATTTTAATCTACTAAACCTATAATTTGAAAAATACAACAGTAGTTGAAAGAAATGTCTTTATTTGATTAAATTTTAAATATCAATTTTCTCACTATACAGCGCAACATGGGAAAAACAAATAATTGGAGGAAGTAGACATTACCTAACCTAAAGTCGCATCTTCAAATTATAACTGTAAATACAAAATAATTCTTTTTTGGACATTTTGATTAATTTTTCATGAATCAACATGTATGCAAACTTAACAAACTACAATTTCTTTTGAAATATTTAAATTAATTTCAACAAGACTATACAAGGGCAGAGCCATATGGACCAAAGGGCCCCTAGCCCCCTTTTAAATACTAGTATGTGATACTTGTGTTGCACTGATGCATATTAAAAAACTATAAGATATAAAGCATTTGAAGAAATGACATTTTGCATATCAATTGTATCACTATTTATTAAACGCATACTTTACACAGAACATGTGTTAAGTAATATATTATGAAATATCGATGTACAGTTAGAATGATATATTAGGAATATATAATTGAGAGAGATTAAGGATGTGATTGAGATATAATGAAGGACTATCCTAAGAACATGTTTAGCATATTCCTAAAAATATGTAACATGTGTTTGTTTTCTATTAGGATAAATATAAAAGATCAACAAAGCTCTAGAATTGAGTCTCTGGTTTCCCTCAGAATTAATTTCAACATGGCATTAGAGCGACGCAAACCATAGTCTCTACAAAACTCTAGATCCTCATACCCTAGCCCTCCCAATGCCTCACCATCAAACTCCTCCCTCTGCCTTACTACCTCCCTTCTTTCCCATTACTGTTCATAGTGAATGGAGCCGAGATTACTGTTTATAGTGAATAGTTTCGCGAATACTTGCTCTCCTTGTATTCCCCTTCATTGTTGATGGTTAAGAACACCGTTATTGATCACGATAGTCGTCCTTAATGTACATGCTCTAGTCATTGGAGTTAGAACTTGATTTATTAGAACTTGAATTTTAATTGTGATCTTTGAAATTGGATCTAAAGTTATGAAGTTTGTTAGATATTGTTTGTCTTGTTTAAGAATGGAAGGAAGGCGTTTGACATTTGGTTGGTTGGAAAGGATGGTAGGGTGGTGCTAGGCTTAACATATTTTGTGTTTTGATACAACAAAAATTGTTTTGATGGTTTAGTTTGGGTTGTAGAGATCGGTTTGGAAGATATTGTTCCGTTGGTTTTGTTTTGCAGATTAGTGTAGTGAAGATTATTTTGTTGATGTACTTTGAAGATTGGTTCGGTGAAGGCTGTTCTCTCAATTCATTTGTTTGTAAGATCACCAAGGAAAGATCATTTGTTTGTAGGATCCCCAGGAAAGATCATTTATTTGCTATCACTTATTTGGTGGATCCTTCTTCCTTAAAAAAAGATTATTTATTTTGTGGATCCCTAAAGAAGAATTATTTGTTTCGTGGATCCCTAAAGAAGGATCACTTGTTTAGCGGATCTTTAAAGAAGAATCATTTGTTTAGCAGATCCTTGAGGAGGATCATTTGTTTGATGGATACTTAGAGAGGATTGTTTGTTTGTTGGATTTTTGGAGACGATCATTTAATTGTTGGATCCCTAGAGAGCATTAGCTAATTTGAAGACATTCAAGTGGAAAATGTTTAAGACTACTTTGAGCATCGTTACGTATTAGGTTGTCTGCACTTCATTTGTAACAAGGTGCACATACATGCTCTAGCTTGAGGGAGAGTGTTTAGGAATGTATAATGAAATATCTATGTATAGTTGGAATAAGATATTAGGTATATATGACTGAGAGATATTAGGAATGTGATTGAGATATAATAAAGTAATATGCTAAGAATATGTTTAACATATTCCTAGAAATATGTAATATGTGTTTATTTTGTATTAGTATAAATATAAAAGATCAACTAAGCTCTAGAACCGAGTCTTTGGTTTCCCTCAATATTCATTTCAACAATATGCTAATGTCTACTAAAACATCTTTCAATCGGATAAATGTCAAAAGGAACAAAGCAACTAAGCTCAGCAATTACGTCATCATTTAGATTTTTACTTGTTGAATGCAAACACAACTGCGGTTTTA